CGAATGCTCTCTGTCATAGTTGGCCTTAATCGAGTGATAATCAAATTGTTAGGCATATTAGGGGTAACTTGAGGCCTGTATATTAGTTTTTGGTCATTCCCTTTTGAAAAAAAAAAAAAAAAAGAGAGAGATAGATATTTTTAATAATTTTTTTTATCAGTTATCAAAATTATGATAAGTTTTTTTATTTTTATTTTTTTTGGAACAGAAAACTTTTTAAAACTAAGTCTAACTTTTGACCATTCATTATTTCCAATTCTTGGTTTGATCTATAACCAAATTCTCTAAACCTTGAGTTTGTCTTTATCATTAAATCAAATTAATTTTCAATTATATTTGTAATTAACAATTACATTGAGGATAATATATTATTAATCAGCGTTTCATATAATATATGTCATAATTTATCGATTAATTCATTTCTATTTTTTTAAAACATTAAATAATTTTTTTAAAAAAATTTCATGTCTCTTATGATTTTTCAATATTTTGAAAATTAAAATTTCTCATATATTTCATACATGTATTCTATACAAATCATTCAAATAATTTTAATTCCAGACAAATCCACAGAAAAAAATAAAGCAATAAATAAATTTCTAAATATTCTAAAATTGGCTGAGCAAATTACCTCTGAGCACGACTTCCACGCCTTAAACAGCTCCCCAGTTAAAATCATGGGAGGAATCAGCATGGGAAGCCCAACAACAGTGGAGCAGAACAGCATCTCCATCTAAAAAACAAAAAAAAAAATCGAATTTTTATATGATCAACCAAACATATTTCACCAAATCTTAATATAATTCATATGAGATTGATGAAAAAAACTGAAATCACCTGAGTTGTTTCAGGATTCATAGTAAAGATGGCTTCTTGAAGATTTCCAAGAAACGCATCCATTATAAGAGCTCCGGCGATCATTAAAACGCCAATAAAGCTAAAATTTGGCGAGGTCTGAGCATCAGCAAGCGTGAAGAAGATTAATCCCACAACGAGAAGAAACGCAGAAATATATTCATGTAATGGATATTTCCTTCGAAGGCCGGGAATGAAAGCCCCCATTACCATTACAGGCAACACCTGCAACAAAAATTTTGAATGATTTATATAAAAAAAAAGTGTTTTTTTTTTTTTGGGCTACTGACTCGGTGTGGGATTGAACTGGAAGAGAAATAAACCTTAGTTGATTTGAACATAAGCTGAGCAGGATAGTTCAAGAAGGCGAGGGAGCCCTTGGTTAGCCCATGAGAACCCATTAACACAACAGAAAGCTTCGTGTAAGTCTTCCATGGATTCACCATATGCTTTGTGCTGAAGCCCTGTAAGTATATGAGGCCGAGATAGACGAATCCCTGTACAAAAGTGAAGTACCAGCCATAGCTGAAACCAAAGCGGGAGAAGAATTAGAAGAGAAGATAAGAACGAGAATAAGGAGGAAGAAGAATGAAAAGATTTATACCTGAACTGCAAACGGTTGTAAACGTATTCCTGAAACAGGGGAAAGGAATAAAGACTGTAAATTCAAGGTGAAAAAAGGAAAAAAAGATTGAATCTTTGAATAGAATTCTGATTAATTAATTACCTCGCAGATTCCATTAACAAGATAGCCGAAGAAGAAGCCAGAGGAGCAAAGGAGAAATTGGTGCCATTTGGGTCGATCTGTGAGAGAAATTCCAAAGAGAGACCTCCCCTGTACTTCTTCTTGCTTCATCTGTTATCTGTTTCTTGTTTCTCTCAGGTTGCTGAAGAAAAGTTGCAGAAAAAAGTATGGAGATGGAAGAGAAAGAAGAACTAGGTCATCGAAGAGCCCTTCTCTCCCTCTCCCTCTCCTTCTTTCTCGTTTCTCTCGATCTCTGCTTCGCTCTGCTTCAGGTTTTTAAGGTAGGAGGCGAAATTGGCGAACGGGAGAGAGAATATGACAACTTGCAAAACTTGCATTTTTATACTCGAGCATTGATGTAATTCCATCTCGGGACTAGCGATACGGACACCGCGTTGTGTGTTGACCGGTGACTCGGTGGCCGTCTGATCGATCATGACATGATTGGATTGGATGATCAGGATTTCATGGGTTCCCAGATCACGGTTAGTTGTTGCTTAAATCAGCCGTTAGGAAAAAAGGCGCGGTGAATGAAGACGGATCGACGCCGGCACGTGAGAAAAGGACGGCTCTCTTTCTTTCTTGTATTGAGAAATATTCATATGCTCATCAAGTGTTCTGTTTGAGCTCGACTCGGCTCAATCCGAGCTAGGTTCACATAAAATCTTACCAAGCTCGGTTCATATAGAATCTTATCGAGCCTTACACGAGCCTTATTCGAGCAGCATGTTGAAAAAAACTCGTATCACATAATATTTGTTGAGCCTAAAAATAAACATTTAAACTATATTGTTCATGAACAAGTTGTAATTGAGTCATAATCAACTCTTAGTCGAGCTTTTTCATGAGTTCCTGTACATAAATGAACAAAAGAATAAGTTGTGCAAGCTTGTTCACTCAGTAATCGAGCCCCTATACAACTGTTCAACCTCGTTCGCTTAATTAATCAAACGATCATAAACAACTTCTAACAAGGAGAGCCGTGAGTAATTTATCCAACGTCGGTTCATTTTCAACCATAGTTTTAAACACACATCAAAAAGTGTATTTGACTTATATATATATTGATGTAATATTAAAAATTTAAGGGCTATGTGTGTAAATGAGAAAGTTTAGATGTGAGGTGTAAATACATAAAAAATGTGTTATGTACTCAAATCTTATAATTGGAATCAACATAATAAATTATTAGGCCAAAATGAGCTATAACTTTAGAATAGAATGTATAATATTCAAGTGCTAAGTGCAAATTGTAAGGTTTGAAGTGTAAAAGAACTTGGTGTTGTAGTAGAAATATTTAAGATCATGTTCACAAAACGTGTTAGGATATATGAATTCAATAAGATAAAATATGCAAAAATAGTTTTATTATGAGAAAATAAATCCTTTCACATTTTTATATGATAAATTGACATTACAATTAAGAACATATTCCTACATTATTACAAACTTGAATATATTGTACAATGTCATCTCAATCTATTCCCGCCCTCTTATTGTACAGTGCAATATTACGTGATCACAAAATACTATAAGCAAAAAAATACATTTATTTTGTAAACATTATACATTTATTCTAATTTTTCAAAATTATATTTGTAATTTTGGTAAATGTTAACATTAGTCTCAATATGCATGAATGTTATGTTCATACTATATATATATTCATTTATTTATTTAGGCTGACTTTATTTCTCTTCATTGTGACCTTTTTGACTTTTGTATGTAATGCAAGTACAAATATTTAATAACTAACAAAGAGGTTTTTTTGGGTGTTGGATGTAAATTTAGCAAAAAAGTTTTGGGCTGAATTGCAATTGCATGAAAATTAGAGTATTTTGGTTCATTTTGGTTTGATTAGGGTTGATGGGAAGCACATGAGATATTGTCCTATTTTATGCAAATTAAATGGGTGGAAATTAAACCTTTTGGCTTGTTGACTTTTCCCGATGAATAAATAGTAGTATACTTTAGTTGGGATCACAAAATTCTTTTTTTTTTCTTTTTTAAAATTATTTAATGCAACATGCCAATTTGGAAATATTACTTTAATTATTTAAAATCTTGCTAACTTATTTAGATGTTAAATTGTAATAGCAACTAAATTGATATATATATATATATATACACTAATTTATATATGATCTATTCATATATATAATTTTAATGTCATAATTATATCAAATTGTATATATAAATAGATCTATTATACGAATAATCCTAATATATAAGCGGCACCCGGTTCACGTGAGGGGTATAGAGATGAACTGAATGCTCTTCTTATGTTTTTCTTTCTAAATTCGAGGAAGTTTCATCTTATCATTCCTTTCTTTCTGGTACTTTTTTATCTATTTAATGTATTAGGCTTTGAAGAGAGTTTTTATGGGTTTTGTTTTTGTTCTTCCCTTTAAGGGTTGTAACCTAGAGTTTCAGGTTGTGCTTCAGTTATATTTTGATCTCCATGTGGTGATTATCTTTCCTATCCCCTTTTGCATCTTCCTAACATCGCTTATGGCCGCCCTCCATTGTTGAAGCCGACCTAGAACGGTAGTAGTTGTTGTTTTTCATTGTTGTTTTCCTATGAACTATATGTCCTCGTTGTCACCGCCCAAGACAGTCATCCTCTTGTTGTCCTGCAGTCCCATATTTTTCCCATCGTTGTCGCCGACATTCTTCCTCGCTGCAGACGCCCAGAAAGAGCCGTTCCTGGCTATTTTCTGTTGTTCCAATATCCCAATTATCTGTCTCTCTCTTTCTAGTACTTTTCTATCTATGTGATGTATTAGGCTTTGAAGAGAGTTTTTACAAGTTTAGTTTTGAGACGGTCATCGACGTCTCTTCTTACCTTTAAGGGTTGTACTATAGAGATGTACTTGGTCTCCATGAGGTGATTAGCTTTCATATACCCTTTTGCATCCTACTCACATCGCTTCTAGCCGTCCTCCATCGTTGTAGCCGCCCTAGAATGGTACTCATCTTTATTTTTCGATCTTTGTTGCATGTCCTCATTGTCATCGCCTAGGACAACCATCCTCTTCCTGCCGCTAACAATCCTCTTCACCACATACACCCAGAAACAGTTTCTCCGAGCTATTTTTTGTTATTCCAATAGCCCAACCATTTGTTTCTCTCATTCCAACTTGTTCCTACCGTGCAACTTCTCTCCTTCATTATCGTCATCCCCGAGCTATTTTTTGTTATTCCAATAGCCCAACCATCTGTTTCTCTCATTCCAACTTGTTCCTACTGTGCAACACCTCTCCTTCATTGTCATCATCCTCCTCCCTTGCTATTAGAACCCACGACAACGCAGCGCTGCGTACATCAGAGGTTATTCTGGGGGATGTGTGGTTATCTAGCGTTTGCGTACATAACCATGTTAACACTGCTCAAGATAGCAACCACACTTGCTTCGCAATTACCAAAGCACCTTTACCGTCTCCAAATCCTCTTTAACTCTTCACCACTCTTTTGAGATACACATCTGCTGATAAGCTCTCAATCCTATAAATTTACAAACTTATCCATTATTTATTTTACATGTAAAATGAAGTCGCGTCAACCACCAATTTCATTTTCCAAAAATTATTAAACTTTTTATAAATATATGCATTATTATAATAAACATCCGCCGGAATCCGTATAAGATATTGTTCATGTTTGGTTTGAAGTATTTGGCATATATATTTGGGTGCATTTACATATATACCACCTAATTCCTATGTATTTACTTATCTAACACTTCAAACATAACCTTCTTTACATTTACACCATCCAAATCTTTCATTTCACATTCAAAGTATCATTATTGTAACTTCTAAAAAGTGCTAACACACACAATTTTATGCATAGATGGTTATATATATATACGTGAACATTTATCTTTATGGCAACTGGCAGCTAAACTTCTACAGAAATTACAAATTTACATATTGAGAAGTATTTGTATAGTTTAGTGAGGTTAATGAGAGCCTTAAAAAATGGAAGATTTGCATACATACCACTCAATTCTTATGTATTTACATATCAAACATCTAAACTTCAATTTTTACATATATGCCATCTCACCCTTACCTGCAAAGGTGTATTTCACATTTTAAAAGTTAAAATGGTGTATTTTTTATGTGATATGATAGATTTGGATGATAGAAATGTAAAAAAGGTAAAGTTTAGGTGTAATATATGTAAATGCATAGGAGTTAGGTGGCATGTATGTAAATGTCCCCCAAAAAAAAGAAAACTTAAAAAAAAAAAGAATTAGTCAAATAAAAGCCGTCGCCTGACTGATTTAGGGATTTGCTGATCCAAATTAGCCGGCCTGCTCCTCTTCTGGTTGGACTCTTCTTCCGCCTCCAAACTCCTCTGCTTGTCCTTTGTTTGAACGGCTCTTTCCACCGGTTTGATGGACCGATAGAACTCAGTTATACTCAGCTGAACTCCACTGGATTGAGGAGACTCGCAATCGACTTTGGATTTGTTGGATTTTCTCGGGCTTGATTTTGTTTCCTTCAGCTGCTGCAAAATGTTTTCGGAGAATTTGGATGAACATTGATTCAATATGACAGCATACATTTACAGGTATGTAATTTATTTATTTATTTTTAATGTTTAGATCCTTGAAACGTCATAGTTTGAATTCAAAAGAATGAAGGAGTATGTATTTA